GAGTGCGAAGTTTCCTGAGACTGATCTAGATTAAATAAGTTGTTGTCAGGCCTACAGCTGCGATGGCGAGCCTACCTAAAGTGCACATTAACACCAGTAACAGAAGAGGAAAGAAATGACAGGCCAACAACACTGCAGCAGTCCTTCTGCCCCATCATGCCTCTGCATCGCCTACTTAACCATTAAATCACCGTTAATAAATTAGTTGATTAACACATCGTAAAAATTATAAGTACTAACAATACAAACTTCTATTTTATAACACTAAAAAAGAGAAACAATATAAACACATGAAAAAAATGTGAGGGAAAACTTTAACACAATCTGGAGCAATTTACATTACTCAAGTTTGAATTCTCTGACCTGCTATTTACTTTCAGAGTGACTGCAAGAACTGATCTCACTTTGTGCTATCCGACTGTTCTAATATAGTATTTGTACATAAATCAAGTAATCTGTCAGACCGTCAATGGGAATGACATTGTTACAACTGAAGTACAATAATAATAATTTACTTTGTATTTTTATTCATATTTAAATGTCCTTCATGTGACATTTTGAAGTGTTCGCTTTGCACACTCTTTTTCCAGTAGTTTGGAAGGTCAGTCATGCAGCCTAATGTCACCAACTTTGGTCTCAATGAAGCATTTTCTCATATATGCATTTATTTATAAAAAAAAAAAAAAAAAAGCACTGCAACAAACAGCATTTTAATGTACTTAAAGAAAAACATCCAGGGTGATGATCTGAAAGGTACCGTGAGAAACAGGATTTTGGCTTGTAAATCTAATTCTAAAAGACTTCGTCTTCATATCTATCTTGAAAAAAATTAAATGACAAAATGAAGTAAAAATATGAAACCTACTGGTCTGAGCTCTTCATAACATTCCCTACAGTATATGTCTGAAATCATGGTGATTTATTCATATTAAAAACAAAATGTACAAAATAAAAAGGTTTGTTGGTTTGATTAAAAATAGAAACTTAGATAAATATACCTGGAAGTCATTTCTCAGCCCTCTATCGGGCATCTCTACCTTTGGCTTGACTTAGGCAGGTTGGCAGGGCACACAGAACAGAGCAACACTGTTCCAGACTAGAGGACTCTGGGAAGGGCCCTGCAAGTGTCCACAGTGAGCTCTCAAAGTCTGTCTATCATAATGACGTCTCTGTATCCACACATTTATCCCCCTGCTCGTCTTCCGCATTTATCTTAATACTAACCGTCTTCTCTTCACTGTAAAACAAAGACAAAAGATTAAGGAAAAATTTACTCAAAGCAGACGCCCAGCAACATTTTTCTAAATGTTAATATCGCCATACTTGCAACACACAGTATCACATTCAATGAAGCGCAAACAACATGTCATACTTAAGGAAATATTCAAAAGCAAATCCAGCACACACTTTTCACAGGCATTGGTTATAAACAATGGATAGCGGCCTGGTCACATGACGATAAATATAAATAAAAATAAGATAAATAAAATAAGCAAACTAATAACTTTTATAAAATAACATTTTTTATTTAATAAAATAAATAAACTATTCTCATTTTTTATAAAGTTTTTTAATAATGTAATTTTTTCCTTTATGCCAAAAAAAAGTTCATATAAACTAATAACCTTTATAAATATACAAATTATATATATTTAGAAAACTATACTTTTATAAAATACATAATTATATAATTTATTCTGACATGAAGGACTTAATAGAAATAGTTCATTGGGCATCATTTGCAATAAATAAACTATTCATAAACACAGTCTTGCATAAGTAGTTGCACTGAATCAAATTTAACAATATACATTAAAATGAAAACTTGGACAAACAGGCTAAACAGGCTGGTTAAAATCTACCGTTCTTCTGTACAGCTTTACATCTATGCAGGAAAACAGGCTGTGCGTTGAAGCAGTGAGAGGAAAAACAGATACGAGGTTAGAGGAACAATGGCTATACCTGGCACTAGGTTTCAATACTTTGGCACTGTCAGAGCTCATGGCAACAGCTCTCCACACAGCAGTTTTGGCCATCTCATCAGATATGTTAACCACAGAGGGGTCAGTGCTGCAGAAAAGACACATCAGAGCACTTACAGCTGGTCGCCCACACTTTAACACACTCATTTCACTTCCTGTTCACCAGCACTGTGCTTGATAGCCATTTGATTAATAAAGCAAGGAAATCACATCAGAAGAGCCAAGGACAACCCTTCCCAGCGCAGACCCTGTGTGTTATATCAGAGGTGAGCATTTAATGTTGTTGTGATGATGTTCATGAGCAATATGTCATGTTAGCAATCAAAGCACCTTTGATTGAGACAAAGGTCTACTTGCTCCCTTGCTGAAAGCTAAACATCAACCTTATGGAATTGTTTTTCTTCTATAAGACCCCTCTAGATAAGATAAACTATGAAATGAACACTAAGCAGATCTGAGACCAAATGGACCAAACTTCCCAAACAAGAACAACAAAATCAAAATTATATTCACAGTGCAACCTATAACTAAAGGAGTGGTTTAAAAACACCAAACCATTTAAAAATTTGAGGTTGGTAAGATTTTGTTGAACGTTTTTGAGAGAAGTCTCTTGCTCATTAAGGCTGTATTTATTTGATCAAAAATACAATAATAATGTAAACAATTTAAAATAACTTTTCTATTTAGTATATTTTAAAATTTAATTTATTTATATGATGGCAAAGCTGAATGGTATATTGAAAACAGTTGTACTGCTTAATTTTTTGTGTGGAAACTGTGATCTTTTTTTTTTAGGATTTTTTATGAATAGAAAGTTCAAATTAATAGTATTTATTTGAAAAAGTAAATCCATTAAAAATCTTACAAATGATTTCTGTCACTTTTGATAAATTTATTTCATCCTTGCTAAATAAATAGAAATTTCTTCTTAATGTAAAATCAGGGTATGTTCAAGATTTTCAGGCTCAAATTTAAGACTTTTTTAGACCTTTTTCAAGACCTGCACAAATAAAATTAATACCATATGAGCAGGGTAGGGCAATGGTAACATATTAAACTGTAAAATGACTGTAAAAAGCATGATTTACAAGTCAGATACAGGTTTTCACAAAAAAAAAAAGTTTTATAAAATGACAAAATTCACATTTCAGCCTTTAAACCATTTTTAAGTCAAAAGTATCATTTATTATTTGAATTTAAACAATTATTATCAATCAATTATATTAATTAAATAGCATTATACAGTATAATTAAACATTAAAGAACAAAATATTTTACTGCCTTAATTACTTAGATTTTTATAAAGCATTATTTTCTTGTTGATCCACCAGTTCATATTTACAACTCTGCATGTTTGCAGTGTAAAAATATCGATAAAAATATCGATTTTCCCATTGGTCTGCACAAAAACAGCAGACTGACTTTTTGAAAATGCCAATTCATTCTCTGCCATCATGTGGCGCTTTTCAGTGGCAGAAATGTAGCAGTTTCCCCGGTAACGGCAGAACACAAAGCAGCGCAGCACTGGACTTTGAAACGTGCAGCGCTCATATTTATTTAATGAAATCATAGCCTTTTGAAGTTTAATCATCACATTAAGCCATATCGCAATTCTTATCTTTCCGTCCCCAAATTTAAGACTTCTTGAAATCATAATTAAGACTTTATTGTACCATTTAAGACCTTTTATGGCCTTAAATTTGATCAACTAAATTTAAGACTTTTTAAGGACCGCGGAAACCCTGAACATTATTCTTTCTGACCCAAAACCTTTTAACAGTAATGTATGTCTAGACTTTGTATAATCATCATGGTGAAAACAACAACTGGTTTGAGCACATATTTGAGATAAGATACAATAAATAAGGATTAATCGTGTTGTGTAATTATATAAAATATCTAACCACATAATTGCACAACTGACTAATAAAAATTAATAATGTGGATTACTCGATATAAAAAATTGAAATAACTGGTCTTCAACTGTCATTTGAATACTAAATGAGCTACTGCTGTAATATTAATGCATCTGATGTTAATGTAATGAGAGTTAGCACTCTGACATGAGTAAAATGCTCTTGAAGCCTAACAAGTGTACTGGTCAATGAAACAGCTGTCTGTCAATGTGATGGCCCTGGTTAATTTGTTTAGATATTACTGAGCTTTGGTTTACACATGAAATGTCGATTACCAAACATACAATGTAAATCATGAGCAGCAATCATCATCTGAAGCTGTTCTGCATTGGGAAACGATGAGTGGAATGAGGTGCATCAGTAAGCTTCCCACCGCTGTTAACCAATGCAGAGCTGTTAGAGGAAGATTTAGACTCTTAACAACGCACTCACACCGTGATGTGTAAAATACTCTGCAACAATCATCATCATCACTCTTATTAAACATAAGTGATGATTAATAGCTGTAAAGAGAAAGTATGTGGTAACCAGAACTCAAGCAGGCCTGCAAGTAGACAAAAGACCAACCACACTGCTCGTGTCTTCCTCGTATGAGGTGTCGGAGACTACGCTGTCAGATCTGTTTCAAAAGAAACAGGTCAAAACTTACTGAATGAGCCCTTGAATGAGGCCAACGCAGGGTGTTTAAAAGAAACCCACAGCAAAGGAATGCCTTAGCTGCAGTATGTAAGACATCCTGTGAAATCTAACCGTATATGAGCGATGAACTTTCACCAACCTGATTTTAAGGCTCTTCACGGGGATTTCCAGGTGGTCACCATTATCATAGGGGACCTCCATTCCACTTTCAGCCTCCATCATGCGCTGTGCTTCCTGGTTACACACATCAAGAGGTCTCTTTTTTTATCAAGAGAAGATAAATGTTAAATGCCTATGAAGAAGTACAGGACAGCTATCTTTAAAATTTCAGTGTGCAAGATCCACATCCTGAACAAGTACCTCTTTTGCCTTTTTCTTTTTGTCGTCTTCCTTTTTCTTCTTGCTTTCTGGCATTAAGTCATCCAACCAGCTAAGCTCCCTCTTCAAAAAGCAGAAATCCAGAAGCTTCCTCACAAATACCAGAGCAAGAACCTACAGAAGGCAAATACAAGACCTGAGTAAAAAACAAACTAATGGATGATGAGCAGTACAATCTGAATGAAGAATTAATAAAAAAAAATATATTTTTTTTCTAAATGTAATCTACGAGCATGCAGAGACAGAATCAAATTTCTGTGCTAAATTCTCTCGCTGTGATAAATTAACTTATGTAGCAAGTGCATAATAAATTTGCTTAATTTTTTTTAATTAAGAAAGCTGCACAAATAATATGCAATAATGAGGTTATGCTACAAATAATCATATACTGTACATCACTTTGATGGAGCTGTTATTGGTATTTTTTTCTTGCAATGTGAAAGATATTTAATCAACAATATTTCATTATATATTGTAGGATTTTACATTACACTTGAAATCCAATTTTTCTACCCAAAAAGAACTCTTTAAAACCTTTTCCTCAACTTCCAATCCCTATTAACATTCTTTGAATTGTTTGTAAAGAAAAAAAAAGCAAGAAATGGCAAACTATTATTTTGAAGTGTTTTGAATATCGATCAGTGTTTCAGTTAACGCAACATCTGAAATGGTGATTTATATTTTGTGCACGTAAGCGTGATCTAATCACACTGGAGACACATTAGAATTAAGGTGTAAATGCGATTCGGCTAAAAAATATCAACTACACAAAACGCTTGTTAATACCAGGTGTAAAGGGGAACTATGAGATTTTATAGTGAATTTTAAACGTACCATCATAGGGAAGACCACCGCGGCAGCAGACGCTTTGATGACCCACAGTAGCACAAGGCAGGTGAGCTGAACTATTGTGAATATGTGAACCTTCCACAGCGGCACATATCTCAGGTAGATCAAGTCAGGCTGGTGCTTTGCAGGCATCCCAAACAGCTTAATACGGTCAAAGAACTGCAGTGCAACCAATACACAAACAATATGACCACACATCCATCATAGCCTTCGTTTTAGCTGTATGTATAAATAAGACGTGCATCAATCCTGTAATTAAATAAAGTACTGTGAATATGAAAGTGTGCTAACCTGTATGCCTTTGAGTGAGGAAACACCCATGTAGAGGAATACTCCATACAACACGGGCATTGGGATAAACTATAGAGAAATTAGAAAAAAACTAATTTCCAGACATATGGAAATAACAGTCTTTATAATTAATTTAGCAATGGAAGAGTTTACTAAACCTTTAGACAAAATATATAAAATAAAAATTGCAAATTTGTTTTATTTTTATTAGTTATAATTTTTGATGCGTCAGGCTTCTACAGCTCACATAGCATGATTTGGTAGAATATAGAGCTCATACTCCAGGAGGAAAAAACATTTTCAGAGGCCCTAAAGCCTCGTACACACCGGGACGATTATCGCGCACGCTTATCGCCGACATTTTTCGACGTGTCTTTTGTGTTCATACCCAAGCGATTTTCGCAGGCGATGAGCCGAGTGAACGTGCAAATTCACTCCCTGACATTAGATGGCGCTTAATGAAAAACAGAAATACCCCGGTACACATCGAATCCTATTTGATTTGCAATTCCTCTCCATAACAACTCCCTCTTATCGAGATTTTTGTAGTCGCTGTCGCGTTTGTCATAAAGCCCTTTGTGTTCAGACACCAATGAGACCAGCAGCTCTACATTTATCTTGCCTCGATGCATCTTCTTGGTCTACTTACTTCCTCTTTGTCGTTAGGTATCAATGTGTGCTCGGCAAGACCGTTTTGTGCTTGAGCGCTACCAAGTCATGTTTTACTGTAACTTCAGCAGCTCCAGACACGTGAACAAAAGCGCTAATCTCATTGGTCGGCCAGTTTTTAACGCGGCGCGTCAAACCAAAAAAACGAGCCCGAGGCGTTTTTAAAAAAATTACGCTTTTACGCCTCGCGTTTTGCGTGTTGGTGTGCACAATCACATTGGCGCCCTCTGTTTAGTCACGAGGCGTTAAACGTGTGAACAAGCCTTAACTGAGCTAAAATATGCAATTTATATACATTTATAAATATTTACATGGGCAAAAAGAAGAAATTCTGATAGCTTGAAAAGTAAATCAGTGTGATCTCTATAACGGCATTTCAGACTACTTTAAATTTTATGCTTTTTAACATGATTTTTCTGAGAGAAAAAAAAACATGTATGGATAATCAAGTAAACCAAAGTTGCTTCAGTTCAGTTAGTGTTCATCTTGAAATATTAGCAAAATAAAATGTTAATTTATTGCAATTTTTTCTGCACTATAAACAGAGGCATACCTTTAGAATAGATGTCATGAAGACAGACAGACCCATAAGCACAAAGATCATGAACCCAGTAACCCTCTGCTCACGAATACCCAAAAACTTGGGCTGCTCTCCCGGGGCTGAGCACTCTGACTCCACCTTCAAACTGTTGACATGAGAGATGGAGAGGACGGTGGCAGCGACAAACCAGGGCAAGCCCATCACAGAACACACACCGAGCATCACGGCCACCACCAGAAGGTCAAGATGATACCCACAGCCTTTCTGCACAGATTCAAGAACAGATTCATGAGCACCAGGACCACTGCAGTGCTCTGACAGACAGGATCAGGTGCTGAACTGACCTTGAGCTTGTGTTCTTTACGGTTGATGATGACAGCAGTGATCTGCTGATCCATGAAGATGAGGATGGTGCACAGGAGGGCAGGAATGGCTGCTGCAAACAGCGTCCATGTGGGGTTATCGCCCAGAGGAGAGATCAGCCAGCCCCGGCTCTTAGAGGTGGGCTATTGGACAGAAGAAAAACACTTTACATTAATGTTCTTCCCTTTATAATAAACATAAAATGTGATTTATTGGGGATGCACAATTTGTGTGTCATATCAGTTATCAGTCTAAATTAGAGAATGCTTAATTTATTGGTATCTGTATTGTATTTTCAATATTATACTTATAATAATTATTTCTCCTATTTTTACATTTAGACCACCTTTGTCATTATCTAATGTTCAAATAAAACTATTCTTTAAAAACACACAGTTTAATAACACTTAAACATAATCTTTTGCAAACATTATACTGTTGTGATGCCTAAATTCACGTGGCATTTAAAACGACTGATTTTAGTTTTTAATTTCAACAAAATAGTACTGGTCATGGGTGCATCCTTTCACAATAAGAATTTACAATAGGAATGAATGCTTTAGAGTCACCAAAGACAAAACAAACAGCATCTAAGAAGCACATGCTGTACAATACTGCAAAAAAAGTTTAGGGTTGGCGCGATTTTTTTAGATTTTTTTTTTTTAAAGAAGTCTCACCAAGGCTGCATTTATTTGATCAAAACTACGACAAAAACAGAATTATTGTGAAATATTCAGTGTCAAACAATCTTTCAGAAATCACTCAAATATATTGCTTTGTTGCTCAAGAAACATTTCTTATTAATATCAAGTTGAAAACAGTTCTGCTGCTTTTTGTGGAAACTGGTGTATTTTTTCAGGATCCTTTGATGAATGGCAAGTTCAAATGAAGAGCATTTATTTGAAATTCAAATAGCTTTTGTAACTTTATAAATCTCTTTTCAGTCACTTTTATTCAATTTAATGTGTCCTAGCTGAATAAAAGTATTAATTTCCTAAATTTCAAACATTTGAACAGTATTAAACTTTTGAGCATTACTGATAAATGGCAATACTTGCATAAAACTGCAGCACCTGGTTCTTAGGCTTTGTAGAAAAATAAAGTTGGACAAGAGAGGTTAAATCAACAGTCAAAGCTCAGCAGGATAACAGAAAACAGAAACAGCTGGAGTGGTTTAGAGTCAACTAAACCCTGCTAAGTGTGTTTTCTGTTTATTATGGATTATTTACAACAAAGTTTTGCCTCCATTCACATGATGATACACTCAATTCAACTGTTTTCGAAGATATAAAGCTGTGCAAGTAAGTGTTCTGAGAAATACTATTCCAACTTTTCTTTGTAAAATAACTATTGGCCAAATTTAGAAGAGTGGAAACAAAGGTCAAAAGTCCAAAACCCCTAAAACCAGTCAAACATCTTTTGTTCAATCTAGTTTAACAACTCATCAAATTAAGATGAACAAAAACGAATTAATAATAGAAAATGACATTTATAGTACCTCAAAGGTATCTGGGACGTGTAGTTTAGGAGAGGGGACGCCCACCAAGTAATCAACTAAGACCATAATCATGATGGTTAGAAAAACTGCAAAGTCACTGATTGAAGAGCGGACCTGGAGAACAGAAACTAAATGTTAGAGTAAATAACACTCTATCAGCACATGATCTGCACATGACTCTACTGACCTTAGTGGGGAAATAGTGCTTGGTCTTGAACTGTTTGAGGAAGGATGACAGGAAGAAAGTGGTGAAGAAGAGAATGACAGACCAGAACAATACGTCAGGGATGTACGGGCCATTATGCCCGCAAGCAGGACCCACAAACTCGCCATGGAGTTTCTTGCAATTCTTTAAAAAGAGAGAAAAAATAGCAAGTAATAATTAAAGATATTTGATTTATTTGATATGGATACAAGTGCAACTAAAACTTATTTTAAAAAAATATATATATATTCTAAAAGATTTTTAAACATGTCAAGCTTTGATACAAAAAAAACAACAGAACAAAAAAAAAAAAAAAAAAAAAAGATTTTATTTTTGTAAAAAGTTCCA